TGTTCAAGGGTTGTAGAAGAAGGGTTCTTGGGACCTCCTGGAGTCAGACAGGTCAACAAAGTTCCCTAAGGGCAGTTTGTGGCTGGGACATTGAGAAAGATTGATGTAATATCCTGAGACAGGTGTAGGAGATAGGTGGAATGTAGGTAAGATTTAATAGTTTAAGGTTTATTTGTCCTGATAGAAAAGTGGTAAGCTAACCCCAGAAGCCAAGCGCTGTACCTGAGAGACAAAAAAATCATACCCATGATGTAAAAAAACATGATGACCATGATGGTTGCCCTGGCTTCTTGGAATTCTCCTTTGAGCATTTTAAATTCCTTTTAGTACAACAGCTGTCTATGATTAAAATAGAAGAAGTCAGTCCATATAGGGAATAGGTGTGAACTTGCTGAACTGTGACCGGGTGAGGATAAGGGAACAGATTCTAGGAAAAGGTACAGAGCTAGGAATACCACCAGAGAATAACAACAGAGGAGAAACAGCAATGGGGGAGGAGATGAGAAAGCTGTTGGCACTTTTGCCCAAGGCCTGTCTCCTGGAAAGTAATAACAATAATGAAGATGTTAATAAAAATGATGATAATAATAAACCCTAATTTGCCAAACTGGTCACTGACTCTGCAAGGTTATATAACTGACCCAGGCTTTCTAAGCACTATACTACATACTCAGTGTCTGCACACACCAACATAGTATCACCTATGATTCAAAGTTTGATTTGATTTTCCTGCCCTGGAAAAAAAGTCATGTAACCCAACCATAGGTTCATTGACCTGCCACAACAAAAGCCAAACTCGTGCGACAGGTGCTGGTGCAGAAAGGTTTATTAAGGTGCCCTGACCTGGAAGAATGGTGGACTTCTGTCTCAAGGACCATCCCTGCTTCCTGCTCAAGTGGGGATAGAGGTAGAGTGGGGGGTGGAGGGGTTCTTACAGAGATACTTCCTGGTGCTCCCTTCCTGTCTGCAGTAACAGTCAGGAACCCTGTCACTTCTTCAAGAATTATGGTGCCTGTCTGCAAATCCAAAGAGATTACCTCCTTGATCACCTTGGAGATTTCCTCCAGTGAAATGCCTTGGTAGGCAAGTGGGGTATAGAGATTCAGTTCTTGATTGCTGCAGGCAGAGCAGTCAGTTAAAACAACGTCTTATAGTTTTTGGTGGGACATGGAGGATTTTCCCTGCTATACAGAGAATGAGGACTGAACACCAAGGGAGTATTGGGAGAGGCAGCTCTTGTCAAGCCACAGAAGATCCTGTCAACCTAAGAAACCTTCAAACCTGTAGAGAATTTTTGGTGAGTCTATTTGAGCCAATCTGATGACAGTTGCTGGGAAGCAATATCTCAATGGATTAAGAAATGCTCCAGAGAATGAGAGTTTAGCACATTATTTTATACATTAGAATCAAAGGAGGAGCCATAAGGGGGTTACATGAAGTCCATTGGTGGTAGATTAGGGAGGCAGGAGGAAGCAAAGCAGGGTAACCTCTGGGATAGGAAAAGGTGAAATGACAAATACATACTTCTTTTACATAGGTGGGTAAGGGATAGTTAACAGTCAACAATTAACACGATAACAACAACGATGAGGGAATTTGTGGTCTAGCTTGTGCCCAGGGGTTTGGGAATAAGGGAAGTTACCTTGATATTCCAAAGGTATGTTATTATATAATGATGTAACACGATAGTAGACAGGCTTAGTTAAAGTACAGATTGACTTTTGTTAGGAAAAAATACTAGCCTAGGACAGGACTGCTTGCCATGAACTATTCTTAGTTAATAAACTTTAATTTTAGACAATCATTTGTAGTTACTTTAGGTCTCTGAGTTTGCAAGGTTGCCTCACAGACCTCCCCTGAGCTTGTCAGGTGAATATGTGGCCCCTTTTGCTTCCACAGTCCTATTACCTTCTTTGCCCTGGGCATTGTACATGTTCATCACTCTTGGAACAACATTGTGAGGCTTCTCCATGACTCATCCCTGAATCAAGAACGTCTGCCATGATTGTCTTTCTTTGCCTAACTAAATAGAGGGTTTTTCTTGCTTAAAATTGTGTAATGTCAGTGGTCATGTTTTATATTTACCCAATGAAAATTAAAGGGCACAATTAATCATATATAAGCTTACAGATTTCTTATAAATGTTGTGATCTTAGACAAATGCAAATGTTTAAAAATCATGGGTACAAGCACAGGGCTGTGGTCAGAGGGCCTAACTCTTACTCAGCAGAATTGGTTCACTTCTTGGGGTTGCATGAATCTGCTTTTTTTCGATGTTCTCATCTATGACTATATTTACAGTAGGAAACAGTTACAAGATCTTTCTTAGTTAAATAAAATTTTAGTTTCTGTTCACTAGCTTATGTGAACAAGATTTCTAAAAAATGAAAACAAGAGTCCTTTTTTAAAAATTGGTATGAAACATGTATGAAATTGGTAGAGATATATGTAACTCTATATCTTAAGGAAGGATTAAACTTTTCCTTTGAGAGAGAGGCTT